GATCTTCCAGTGAAAGCAACATTATGGAGGATAAGCCATGGAGTCGCATACATGCCGATTTCGCAGGACCGATCGATGGTACAACTTACCTCATCGTCGTTGATGCTTACTCGAAATGGCCAGAAGTTATCGAGATGTCATCTACCACTACAAGCTGCACGATAAGAGAACTACGCCGTCTTTTCGCTCAGTTTGGGAATCCAGAAACACTAGTGACGGACAATGGACCGCAATTCACGTCCAAGGATTTCAGCAACTTCTGCAACAAAAAGCATCACACACCTGAAGGCACCAAGGGTCTTTTCCTTTATCAGATGAAGTTCGATGAAACCAACATGCTGGTTTGTTTATAGAACATATAGTGTGCCGTTACCATTTTCAATTGACAGCAATTAATAGAGCTGCGTTTCCCTTGGGAATTTGAAAAAATGGCCTGATCGGAAAGTTAGGCAGTCAATACCCTCTTTCTTACGTCTTTGTTTCCTTGGTTACCGCTTCTATCGGCACACTCTTCCCCGGGACATATCGCGCTCTTAACGACAGACCTAATTTCCCAAGGTTTTGACAAGGGTTATCAAGAAGGAAAGTGAGCCAAATGTGCCGTTGTTTTGGAATGTTATGAGGTCATTTCTAATACTGTGGACTAAATAGTGTTTTCAATTAAATAGTGAATCGCCTCATTAGCTACCCAGAGCAAATGTCACTCAAGAGTAAAACAAAAGCTGAGACATTTGTCGACAGAAATCATGAGTATGAGCAAAAGTTGCACATTACCCCATTTTGAGAATCTTAAAATTTCTATAAAAATTTCATAGACAAATGAAGGAAGTTAGGACATGACCTCATCTTTATGGGGTCTAAGGTGCATACGTGTGAGACGCAGGTAGAAGATTAACTGTACACTTATGTACCTACGATGACGTCCCTTCCCATGTGGGGGGGGGGCGAATGGGTCTGCACCCACAGTAGCGTGCTGTTTTCTACGTTCAAAGGTGCAAGGGAACGAGGTTGAATGGTAGAGGACCGAGTGCCGTATCTCGACTCCGCTCGCGCTATCCTCACAGTAAAGCGCTTGCATGAGTACCAAAATCCTACAGCGAACACTTATTCCGAGATAGAGTGCAACCGGAACTGATGTGAGACTGAGCAGACAGGTAGCACGTTCGACTATGCTCACGAAGTGGCTGGCCGTGTGGTGGAAGTGGCAGTAGCAAAAGTCTGAAGCAGCTAGCGATATAAGAGGACTTTATATGGAGTAAGTCGCGCAAGGGACCATGTAGTATAATCGAGGAAATAGAGTTAGAACAATTATTATGAATTCCTTACCCTCTTCTTTCATTCACGGTTCCAAAAGAAGCGGTCCAGTGGAAGAGATTCAATTGTCGCGTTTACTGGTCGAACAGAATGTTGAAAATCATAGGAAGGCAACATAGGATGATACTCTTGATTGATTTTAGTAGTGGCATTAATCTGGGCAGAACACGCTAGATGCCATACTAAAGTACTTATTGTTAGCACATCACTTTCATTTATTCATCACACCTCCAGGATGTGTCCCCTGAGGGGGAGAAAAAGAATTCAGCGTAAATCATAGTCAAAATTGAAATTTGAATATTTTTCTTTTTAACAGCTAGCAACTTTAGGTGAGATCAGCTCGCATTGATACCTCATTAAAATCTCGAAAACTGATAAAGTGGTAGCTTTCTTGAAGCTCTGTATCAATTTTCGTCTACAAATACCATTGTTTTCTTGTTTTTGGATCGAAACTCTGTTTTTTATTCTCTTATGACTTCTTCTATGGTCTATAGTTTAGTGTTTTGCCTATTACCTGAAGAGGGCTAACCGGTAATGTGAGCATTTATACATTAAGGATTGATCTTTCTATTAGTGTCACTGGCTCGGCTCCTGCTCATCCTTATTCTGCATTATGGACAAGAATGTTATCCGCTACCTTCAGCACCGACCCCTTCAAGCGCTTCCTTAAACTATTTCTTCTACCACCCTGGCGCCAGCATGGCAGCTGTCGACGCCGAAATAATGGAGCTGCACAAGGACAATGTCTACAGTCATCAGACAATCTTCCACGACGCTAGCTCTTCAGAGCGGGAGCCTACGGTTCGAATGACGAAGTGAGGTTCGGGAGTACCTGTAAACTCAGCTCTAGATAGCGGTGGGTCGGGAAACTACTGGATGAAGAAGCTGCCTCCTCGGTCAATCCGTACGCAAGGCAGCTACGAGATCTGAAGCGAATCGTCAAGCAGAGGGCAAAATCCATCGGCACAGTCCGTCCCCCCGTCGCCGAGCTGCGCCTTGTGACAGTTTGTTTCCACCTGCGAGCCCGAGCAAAAAGCCTAATGGGTTATGGCCAGTGAGATCAGCGATTGGACAGGGAGCCATTGATCGTAGACCTCAATGCGAGAAAAAGGCAAATCCACCGCAACGTCAGATGACGTTCCAGAGGAACATATGGCTTTAATTACATCACGTCATTCATTAATGTTCACAATGGAGTGCTACTGTATGATTTCAGCAAAATTTAAAAGTCCTGGCTGGGGTGCTTTCGTAAGGCCCCTAGCACCGAGATTCCTAAACAGCCAGAACTAGAGGAACCGCTGATGTGAGGAGATATTCTAAACATAGCCGAGTGAGTGTGAAGAAGCCATCAGAAGTACACCAAACAGGTCCACCTCATATACCAGCAGTTGAACATGTTTGTTGAACAGGTGGATAATGAAAGGAGCAATTTCAACCTCTTCAAAAGCCTCACCGCAACCATCAACATTAAGAAAGGATGAATCATCAACTGCTCCAGCTATCGGCTAGCTCGTTCGATGTGGTAGATCCGAAAAATCCTAGAACAACTACTGAGTAATGGTTTAAAGAGAATGGCCGACAGCTGGGAACAATGCGAATTTCGGCGTCATTCACACTGGAGCGAGCATTTAAAGCGGTCCCTATGTAAAATTAGGATTACCTTCGAAAATCTTCTATTATAATGACAGCTAATTAACGCCAGTTTCGCGCGTCCGAAAGTTATCACAAGAATACTGAGTAATGCAAACCATGCAAGAAACCTGGTCCGCAGGGAAGAACTAAGTGAAGGTCCGTGTTCAACTATAGTCGAGCAAGATACATTCATGACCTCCGCAAATGATAGGGCGTGTGACAGGGGCTGCTGCTGTGCAGCCAGGGCAGTTTTCCCGCCAATTGTAGCGTGCTCAGGATGGCATCATCGGTGGGTGCGCCCCACCCACCTCGAATCGTATGCTCTGTAGTGGGCAGGGATCATGACTATAGAGCTTTGAAGTTTCGTTTTCTACTCAGTGCTGTTTGCTTGTCACCGCTAACAAGTTTATCCCAGCCTGTATGGAAATGTTACTTGTATACCCTCACGCGCTACGTCGATTACACGAACGGTCGCACTCTGATCTCCCAGGTGAGGCCGCCTGGGTGTGCGTGTGTGTGTTTGCAGTGCCTATTGTTGCACAGCTCGCATTGATTCGCCACCACGTACCAGTTCGTATGGTCGGCCGACGTCTGCGTCAGCAAAATGACAATTCATCTTATTACTACTGATTAATTCACGTGTTTAGCTATTAGATTTGAAAGTATGTCCTTGACGTGGACGTTTCGGTACATAACTCTGGCGCAATCACAAGAACAATGTCTAGCTTTAAAACACTTCTCCATGAGTTTCGGTTGGACAAATTCGAGTTTGGGATACGTTCCTACTGAGTCGCCATTTCGTAGAACACTTTCCTAATCATTTATCTGCTATTATTGAGCGAAAGAAACCTTAATCACTCAAAGAGGGAGGATATACCACTAGCGGAAATACCCGTTTGTTAGAATTTGTCGCTTTCAATTAGCCTCAGCTTACAATTGTCCATCTTGCTTCAAGCAGCATTTCCTCACCCTCTTACTATTAGTTACAGCTACTTATTCACAGCAGTATCAAGCTCTACCTTCCCTATCTGAGTATTTCAAGCGTATCAGTTTCCGCTTTGCGTTTCCTTTGCGCCAACATTTTTTGAGGGTATGTTTTTTTTGACGCGGACCCTAGGCCCCAACGGCACCATGTTTGGACAGTAATCTCATGGTTAGCTGCTTGGAAAATGGTGTTCTATGTTTTGAACCCTGTTTTGTGGACGACTAGCGCTACGTGCCCTTCGAGGTCCACTTTATTTCGTTGTACTGAGATCACGTGCTTATTTGGCGAAGAATAGATTCTTATTTGAAACGATAACGATTTTGTTACCTTTTTGTGTGAAATGTACAGCATGGATTCAACTGTACAGTTGAATCATTCCCATTTTACAGTTGCAGAATTGGACCTTCAATTAGTAAGTTTCCGAACCGTCATGGAAATTCTACTTCAACTCATTTATACGCCTTATTGAGCGTTTCCAACTGTTCACTTTTTGATAACATTTGGTTATTTGCGTAGAATATGACTGAGTAACATCACAAGACGAGTAGTAATTTTGAAAACAGCTGATCAATCCGCTTGCGAAACCACGATGGCCATGTTTTCATGCTACTGAGCCTACTGAGAATTTTAGGTTATAGAATAAAGACTGTATTTGTTTACACTGTTACTGCTGTAACAATAATGGCTTCCATCTTCGAAATTTGAATCCCTGCAGGAATGACGAAATACAGTGTACTTACCTGTTTATATGGTTCGTTTTCATTACAGGTGCGAGCACCACCAAGAAACCATCCTATTCTTTCGCAATCGTCATCCACGGCCGACTTAAAAAAAGTCGGAATCGGCGAACTGGGAATTCGTTCAGCTGCATTCATAGCTATTTTACGTTAATGACAAGCGCATTTCCACACTTTGCAGCAAGTTTCATTTAGGAACATTAAAATCCTACGGGCGGCCACGCAACTGCTTTATTCGCCCATCTGTGTTACACCTCCTCATAATATAAGCGGACGGTGTATCTTATTAGTCCTGAGTTCGTTGCTGATGAGATGCCTCGTTTCGATATGAAGAGAAATGAAAAAGTGTAGCCTCTTATGGGTGTCGGAATCGCTTATTTTGGCTTGACGCTCTTTTTTGGTCGTTCGAAAAATAGCAAAGCACACAGCTTCATAGGGGAAGAATTATCTGTAAATGGTATAGAAATGAAAGATAAAATATTTTGAAAAACCTCACTTAATTAGCTAAGACCTTATAATTCTTTTTCGCACATGTTTGCCTGCTGGGATGCTCTCGACTATTTGGCTTGGGTGCGTCAACGGTCCTGTGACATTATTATTATTATTATTATTATTAATGAAGAACCACTTCCGCTAAGACTTTCAGGAAATATTTCTTTCTTATTTCTACGCCTGTGAGAAAATCTGCAGGGATTAGAACTGCCTTGAAGTGCCTTCTTACAACCTGCACCTGCTAAAAGGCTTTGGAAGGGGCGGGTTGCCGAATTCGTAGTACCCGTAGTAACAGAGAGACGTTGCTTTCAATAGGTGTTGTACGGGATAGGACGGAGAAAGAGATGGTGGGTAACAGGAAGCGATAAGTGCTGATATGAGCCCAAGAGACGTTAGTACGCAACATAACTTCATTTCTACGCGCGCCTCACGAACAGTTGAGAACTGCTTCTCACAAGTGATGTAGGTGCTGTGACGGGGACATTATTAGTGGGTTGCCAGAAGGGATAACAGCTGACAGGGACTATTAAGGAGCGTTCGAACGCACACGTCATCTAACTCGTTGTGCGCTTCAAAGCGAGAGTGGAAGGTTGGATCCAATCCAACAAATGGTATAGCGGGAGTGACTATACCAACAAATGGTACAACCGGAGTGATATAGTTGCGGAAAGCTTTCTAAACACATGTATTATTTCCTTGGTAATCGGTCTCAATTGAACCCAGTAGTGAAAGGTAGCGTTCAGCAAACTCAATTAAGCGAAGTCACCTCAGTGGCAAGTGTGAGAACATCTGAAATATCATCCTAATAAGGCGCTTTTGCTTTCCATCGACGTGCCGATCCATCTGGATACTCTTTTCTCGAGTTTACACGTTTTAGATGGTGGCTAGACGAGCTTGCTCCAGCTTCACAAGCGTTGTTTCACCAGAGTGAGACTTGTAAACCGGAAGCAGTGAAAGTGCAAAATGCCCCCCCCCCCCCCGTCCTCGTCCCTGAACCTTATAATTGCTATCATAAATATCTCCACACCCATGTATTACATCTTTGGCGTAAATTCTAGCAAGGAAAACTTATGGGCCACCCCGATACTATTACCTGAGATAGGAAAATCATGTACGAAGAGCGCGAGTGTTAGCGACAGAGCGCGAGCGGACATCTGCAGTGCCCACAGAAGCTTTGCCTGCTACTAATCAGAATGGACTAGGCCGATGTTCAGATTACGCCGTTTTAGAACAAAGCGGGAAGTGCGTAATCTACAGACTGTCGTCAAGATTACAGAAGAAAGCAAGGTGGAGCACAACCATGCGAGCAATCAGACTGTGCTTGGGAGAACATTCAGCAACATGATTGTGGTCTTGAAACTCGTTGGTTACGACGGAATTAAGGAACTAGTCAACGATAAAACACACCTCGGCTACTGCATATTTATTGCTGTCAACGAGCTCTTTGGCCGCAATGTGCAGATTTCCTGCCCCTCTCTACCTCTCTGTGGAATCCACCGCCAGCGAAGTGTGCTGGGCTCAGGCACAGAGCATTGTTCGAAAGTGAAACATGTGCACGGCACGGTTGACTAGCTTTGGGAATTGGAGCCCAAAAAGGCAGTCTGATGATCATCACTATTTGCTACTTTACTAGATGTTTTCCTTAAAGTGTTACCGAAAACAACTAATGTGCAAACAGTGAAAAAGTCAACACCATTCCTTTAGAGCCTTCTTCTACTGGAAGACCAGTAGGTGGTTTCAGTTTTCTCAGAGAAAGTGGTAACCTGTTCGGAACATGCTCTATAAAAATCTACTTTTACATGCATTAATAAGAAGGCACCATGAACCTGTGTGTGAAATAGACGGAATAGGCGCAAAGCGTATAACAATGACTAGAACTCTCTCTCTCTCTCTCCTTATATTCGCAATGACTGTTTCTCGAGCGTACTACTGGAATGTATTGACATATTCACGGGCAAATTTCAGCTCATTTTCATTTTAATGTTGTGTCTTTCGAGCTTTTCAAAAACCGACCGACGGGTTTGGTCAGTGCGTGAAGCCCATTACCGCTTTCTTTTGGACGATCACCATCATTCAAATCATTTCCAGTTAGCCGAATGAGAACATGAAACATCCAGTGGATGCAGAAAATGAGGACAACAACACGATGTTCGTAGTCCCATACACGACGTATCCGAAAAATGTCTGCCCAACTACGTGCGCTGTATGTGGCGATTCTGCTTCTGGATATCATTACGAGGTATGTGGCCATGTCATTTATAACCGTTTCATTTTGAAGTCTTATAATTCAGGTTCCCTCTTGCAACGGTTGTAAAACTTTCTTCCGACGTACCGTACTTTCACAGCGTAAGTACGACTGCAAAAAAGGAGGGCGATGCTTTGCTTTTCTACCAAAGGGTTAGTCAAACAGAAGTTTCTTACATTCCAGTTTTACATTCTTATAGATTTTTATCTTTGCATGATAGGATCTTTTTTGCATATTTTTGAAAAAAAGATTGCGCAAAATTGTGTCTTTTGAAATGTGTAATAAATATAATATTTTGAATTCTTCAACCTTTGATACGTACTGAAACCTTGCTCATCTTACAGTGACCGATAGCAGTCACTGGCCACGCTTCTGAAGGTACAGAACTCAAGGTTCCACTAATATTTTATTACGGCCCACAAAGCGATCGGAAAGGCCTTGGAATCTTGTCCATCGAGTGCTCACAGCTAGGCGTCTCGATGTCGATCGTCGTGGTCGTCTCAAACAGCTCCAGAGTACCCCCACTCATCCAATTGACCTCCTTTTATACCGAATTATGTGATAAAGAATGTAACCATAATCTAAAGAGAAAGTATTCTGAAGCGTTATAATGCAGCATTGCTCACTGATCCGCCAAAAGATAAGAGGCTGAGAACTTGAGCGGCGGATGACTAATCGCTACAGTAACTGTAGTTG